CAAACTGGGTGGCTTAAAACAACAGAAACTTAATCTTTCAGTTCTGGAGACTAGAAGATTGAAGTCCAGATGTCAGCAGGCCTGACTCCCTCTGAAACCAGTAGGGGAATATTTCCTAGCCTCATCCTCCCTCTGGTGGCTCGCTGGCAATCTTTGGTGTCCCTTGGTTGAGGCTGCCTAATGTCAAGCTCTGACCTTGTCACGTGGCCTCCCTGTGTGTCTTTCTTCACAGGCTGTCTTCTTAGGACATCGATAGGACTTCATCTTCACTGCTCACATCTGCAACCATGCTATTTCCAAATAAAGACAAATTCTTTAGGGTTAGGACATCAGTATTTCTCCCCTACCCCATGGGGAGAGACACAATTCAACTCGTGTTAAGGGAGTAAGGTAAACTTCACATATTTATTATTTTAGTTTTTATATTGATTTTGAGAGAGAAAAGGGAGTAAAACATTGGTGAGAGAAACATCTTTGATTGCCTGCCTCCTGCATGCCCCCTACTGGGGATCAAGCCCACAGCCCAGGCTGGGTATTGAATTGGTGACCTATCGGTTCATGGGTCAACACTCAACCACACTGGCCCAGCCACAATTTAAGTTTTGAGGGCAACTCATAAGGCAGCATTTTTGTTTAATGGAGACAAAGTCATATTTACAAGGAAGTGCATAAAGCACATATGCATATATTATAAAGCAAATAAATACACATGTAACCCCCACTGCTGCTACCAGAGAAGGCCCGGGTGCCCTTCCTTCATCAAAACCCACCTCCAGATCCTCCCAGCATCCCACATTGCTTTTAGTCCTCATGCTATCCTATCTCCTCCAATGTGCGACAGTTCCTCATTCTTTAAAATTTTTACTTGATTGTTTAGAGAGAGGGAGGTGGGAGACATCAGTTTGTTGTTCCACTTACTTATGCATTCACTGGTTGATTCTTGCATGTACCCTGAACGAAATGAACCTGCAACCTTGGTGTATCGTGACAATGCTCTAATCAACTGAGCTGCCCATCCAGGGGAGTTCCCCAATTATAGCCTTGATATTTTTGATGATCACTGGACACTTATTTTGCATGATGTTCACTTTGGGGTTGTCTGAGGTTTCCTAATGATTAGTTGAGGCTATATACTTTTTTGGCAAGTATCCCACAGGTGCCGGCCAGGCAGCTCAGTTGGCTGGAGCACTGTGCTGTATACCAAGAGCTTGTGGGCTCTATTCTCAGTCAAGGGCCCACACCTGGATTGCAGGTTTGGTTTTCAGTCAAGGCACCTATGGGGAGGCAACTGATAGATGTTTTTATTCCTCTCTAAAAATCAATAAAAACATGCCTTCCAGTGAAAATATATTTTAGTATTTAATTTGCATTCCTCCAAATATGTTTTTTAAAATATATATTTTAGCCGAAACCTGTTTGGCTCAGTGGATAGAGCATCGGCCTGCGGACTGAAGGGTCCTGGATTCGATTCCGGTCAAGAGCATGTACTTTGGCTGTGGGCATATCCCCGGTAGGGGGTGTGCAAGAGGCAGCTAGTCAATGTTTCTCTCATCGATGTTTCTAGTTCTCTATTTCCTCTTCCTTCCTCTCTGTGAAAATCAATAAAATATATTAAAAAAATAAAATACATATTTTATAGCTATCAGGTGGTTCAGTCCTTTGCCCTTAAATTTTTGAGTTGGCCTCATGATTTTGTAAAGCTAATGAACACTGAATATATACACTGGCACTTTAAAGTTTCCCATCATGACTTCAACCAAGTAGGTACCATTGTATATGTTATTATCTTGTATATATCTCAATGTAATGTGAGATGCTCTCCTGTAAGTAATGTCTTTTCATTTGAACACCCAAGCACATGTAAAATCTAAGGAACACAAGTAGATATGTTCGTTTGTCTATTTGCATAGTCAATTCTTATTATGAAACAGGGTTATCTTCTTTCATTATTAAGGTTTTCTGCTTATATTATTTTTTACCTCATATTGTCTGCCCTATTCTGCCAACTTTATTACTGAGCTCAGATGAAGCTTCACTACCTATGAGAAAAATCAGTACTTAATATGTTCCAAAGCTAGACATGTTATTTTTTTAGTAATTAGACACATTTTGGTATCATTTACACTCCTACCCTATTGACTATTAGAAGATAGACAGTTTTCCAGTTAATAACGTATATTTAAAAAAAAGCCACACACACAAAAAATGTATCAAGATTCACTTTAGTTCCCATACACAAAGTGTGGCAAAAGTAGGATTACAGTTGTATAGAAAATAACAATAAACAATAATACAGGAATAACCTGTTTTTCCCATCCTCACAACTGTAAACCAACATTTGCTCCACCTTGTATTGTAGAATTATATGCTACTCTTCCAAAAGTCTGCTCTCCAATCAAGTGTCTTAAATCCAGAAGAGAAACAGTAACACTACTTTTATGAAGATTGCAATATTGGAAGTTTACATGTTGAGACTTTAAAAGTTATATTTATCTTTTTAGTGACTGATATAAAAACTAATCAAAGATTAAAGACTCAATTACAGTATAAAAGATTCAATTACAGGTGCCACTATTACATTACTTATGATAGGGATGATAAAACGAGCAAAAAGAGCGGACAGTAACATTACTTTGTCAATTGACAAAGTAGATGAGATACAGAGAAAGTGGTAATGAACTGGCGGAGTCCACTCACTACTCACCCTGCAGTCCAGGCCTAAGGCAGGTTAAGGTGGCTGTGGCAAGAGCTGTATTTGAGGGCTCTGTCTTTTCCTAGGGTATTAAAGCACATGTGTTTTTGTTTACTTAACCATTATCTGGTCTTCTTACACTTTATTTATAAAAGAATTAAGCTAGACAACATGGAAAAGAAACACATTAAACTTCTGAAAAACCTCACAGCTATTTAAAATTAATAACCAGCCAGGACCAGTTTGGCTCAGTGGATAAGAGCATTGGTCTGCGGACTAAAAGGTCCCGGGTTCAATGCCGGACAAGGGCACATCCTTGGTTGCGGGCACATACCTTGGTTGGGCACATACCTTGATTGCGGGCACATCCCCAGTAGAGGGTATGCAAGAGGCAGCTGATGGATGATTTTCTCTCATTGATGTTTCTAACTTTCTATCCTTCTCCCTTCCTCTCTGTGAAAAATCAATAAAATATATTAAAATAAAATAAATATCCAAAGAATCCTCTTCTTGGTGTGGAATGGAATAATTCCTAGTTGCCTTAACTTCTTCTACTCATCACTAGAGAGAGTGAACGGTACTGTCAATGATTCTGGGTATGACCACTTTCAGGGAAAAAGTTTGTAATAAAAATACTCAAGATACTCCATTTCCTCTCCCTTTCCCCTGCCCTCCAGGAGCTGGTTAACACAAAACTAAGATAGCTGACATCCCCTAAGAGTAATACTATAGCTTTCACAGGGCACTACTGAACATTCAGGGAAGACATAGGAAAAAGGTAAAATCAGGAGCGAACTGAAGGTTAGTTTCATATTTAGAAATTGTTTATAAAGATTTCTTGTAGTTTAAATGTGCTCTAGTGCTGGTTGAGAAGAAAATATTGCTTATATCATCAATAACCAAACGGATTTCAATATTATGAAGAGTTTTATAACATTTTAGCAAAATTTTTTAAAAGGGCATTAAACATCTGACCCTTTAAAAAATATGCTTAGATACATGCAAAAGCTGTGGATGGACAAAAAAAAAAAAAAAAAAAAAAAAAAAAAAAAAAGATTTTTAAAAACTGGTGTTGTCATAATAAAAAAAGAACACTTTTATACATAGGATTTTATTTTGCACTGCTATAACAATTTCATTATAGACTAGGGAAGAAAAGGGCAGAAAAAAGGATAAAACCATCACACTGAGTAAGCTACTAAAGCTTTTCTACTTTTTAACAGGATCTTCCATCTGGTAGATTTATTGTCATATCCCCTTCAAAACAGACAAGAATTACCATATTTAAAAGATTATAGGTTACCACTGAAAGAAAAATTTTACACAGTCACTGTACATCAAGGTTGAAAAACTGTCCTGCATGGAAAATATATTTAGAAATCATGTGAATAAAAGAAAAGTTATTGTGTTTAAGGAAAAATTGAAGTCCTCATAATGGCCACCTAAATGTGGACATTCATTCTTCTTGGAGTCGCTTAGGTGTATGAAGTTCTTGCTTCTGCCCATTTCACTCATTATACTGTGTTTTTACCCAACAGCATTCATTAAGGCAAACAAATCCTTTTCTGAGGAGGTCTTAAAGAAATTGTGGACAAATAGCAAACTTTTGGCATTAAAACAGGTTAACACATACATAGCCTTTATAATGTACATTAAGCATATTTTTCTTGGACTAGTGACAAGAGAAGATGAACATGCTTGCTAACAATGTCAAAAAGTTTAAAATTCAGTGTCCAAGCAATTCCTAACAATGCTTTAAGCTCTAAACAGTTTAGAATTTATGCAAATGCATTAATGAATTCAAGCTTGGCAAATTACACCCAAGCAGGTTATTAAACTATATATACAGAAAGTAACTGATAAATATAGAATTAAAAGAATCCTTCTGATTTTTCCTTCTAGCCTTGAAAGTTGACAAACTTTTTGAGGACAGTTCTATTAATATTAAACATTAGGTAACCACAGGTGTTGGGAAACCTAACTACACAAACTGATTTAAAATACTCAAGATGACTTTGTAGTGTTTAATACAATTCAGTTCGTAGGTAAGGGCACAAGACAACATTTAACAAAAATAATCACATCAATTGACCTAGAAATCAAATGCAAATAGTTATGAATACAATCTCCAAAATCTGTCTTTTTAAGTGAACATTAACCATTTATTCAAAGTTATACAAGAATTTGAAAGAGTAAAGTCTTCTGTGACATAAAGCCATTTCAAATAGTTCCATGTCGCAGCTGAGTGGGAGAGGGTGAAAGGAGCAGTGAGTAGCCCCATGTGGGCAGCGCGACGGTAAAAACAGACTCAACAGCAGCCTCCCCCGGCCTGCTGTCCTCCCTGACTGCCTGCAAGCGTGGCGTTGGTAGCAGCATGCTGAGGGCCAATTTTAATGCCGTTTGCCTGAAATAAAAGACAAAGAATAATACATGTAACTGGATCCAATAAAAATCCATTGCATTCTTAATGTTACAATTTTGCCAAACAACTCAGAAAAATATTAAGAAGATTTTTACAACAATTAAAACAATCTCTCTCAGGGGCTGTTTCTTCCTTGTAGGAACAATATTGTGGAAATATTTCTGAAAACAATCACTGCAAGTCATCTTTAAAAGTTAAAACTGTGTAAAGCCCATGCTGCTCTAATACAATGTCAAATCTTCTTTCTAGACAGCATTTCTCTTCCATGTTGAATCAGCTGTACAGGCTAAGGGCATAAGAGTGTTCTGTGTCATCAATAATTTCTATGATCCCCAAAGACATGGCAGCTTGCCAAGAACCCACACACAGAGCAGTTCTTTCATTCATCAAACTCACACTTATGTCTTAACCCTCACTCCCTCAAGTGGATTTTACCTAAAAATACAGCACTTTGAGAAAAGTAATACAGTAGCTTCAGAAATTAAGCTCTTAAGGAAACTTTACGTCACAGTAAATCTCAGATTTATAGTGCTTGGCAGTTGTTCTGCAACAGTAGTAGCCTTGGGGTTTCTGGCACTAGCTCAGTATTGACAGCAGCTGATGTGGTTTCTTTTTCGCTCTTTTGACTCCTCTTTAATAAAAAGCATGCCCTATGGCTCATTGGTTCTGCCCCCTCTGGGCTGGTAGCAACTTCTTGAGGAATCAAGGAGTCAGATTTGGCATCTGGCCAAATAAATCGCATGGCCTGTTGGCTCTTGACAGCACGTTACAATCAGAGCTGCACCAGGCCCAGTGCAGCAGTCAGCTACTATATGAAAGCAAACCGAAACAATGAACGTGCACTTTTACCGAGAGGCTCAATTACTGTTCAATTTACATGGCATTAGTCTTTGAATGGTGTTGCCTTTAAATTAACACAAGATCTATTGCCATATAAACCTAGAAGACAGGATTTAGGAAACAATACTTCAAATTAAAACAAATGAGAAAATAAAGTACTTTTTAGAAAATTTAGGCCAACTATTTGATTTTAGCAAAGAATATTGAGGCAAATAATAAAGAGCCTCATTTATGTATATGCCAAGAGACAGATATGCAACGGTTTCCTAATACAGTGCTTTCCTAACTGTAACTGGGTGAGGAGTAAGAGTTTTGCTCTTGGAAGCAAAAAAGTTTACTATAGAATGGCAAATAAATAATACGCTATAGCCATAAAGTGGGGATTCAGGTCAAAATGAAGACCTTTTAAACACTCTGAATTGTATGTTTCATAGCTTTACATTTTATCCTAATCATGTTGATCAAAGCGGGCTCAAAATAATTTTAGAAAAAACAAACACAAAACCCCCAGAAAAGCAAACTAGTGCCAATGGCCAATTACATATATTAATTAAGTTTCTTGAAAATATACTATGCTAAAGTAAAAATAATTTCCAAACTAGGTATTTCCCACTTTCATATCAGACAATAGGGAGAGCATCATCTGCATTAATGACATAGCACACGCATTTACACAACTAGAAAATTATTCCCCAAAGCAGATGACACCATATGGACATGTGGATGAAAGTGGATTTTCTTCTCTTTGGAGGATTTATATTATTTTGTATTGCTTACAACAAATGGATAGGGTCACTGACTTTAATCCATTTGCATAGATAGAGTGATGCTCTACTAGAACACAAACATTTAACTATTTTACAATATCCAACAATTTTCAGTTATATGATTTTAAACTAATGTATTAAATGACAATACATATCCATTTTAGGATTAAAGAATATAAAATCATGAATCCAAGTAGTAATTAAAATTGTTTTAAATTAATTAAAAGTACATAATTATCTAACCACTATGCTGTACACCTGAAACTAATCAAACAGTAAATGTAAACTATACTAAAAAACACACACAAAAAACACATACAAATAAATATTAGCCATTAACTTTTAAATGTATATACCTCATTATTAATGTCAAAGACTCCTTCTTGAATTTTTTCATAAATTTCTTTTGCTGTATTAATAAATGCCTGAAATATAAGGTAGAAAAATTGGTTCAAATTATTTAAAACCACATAGAAAAAGGTTATTATATAAAAGCTATATAGAATATCATAAAGTTCAACATAAGGAAATCAACCCATTAGTCATATGTTATAGTAATAAAGGACAAAAATCACATAATAATGTCAATAGATGTAGAAGAAGCATTTGACAAAAACCAACAATCTTTCATGGTAAAAGCACTAACAAAGTAGGACTAGGAAGGAAATTAACCTGATAAACAGCATCTAAGAAAAACTGCTGACTAACATTGTTTCCAGTGGAGAAGGCTGAAAGCTTTCTCCCTAAGATCAAGAATAGAGCAAGAGCCCAGCCAGCATGGCTCAGTGGTTGAGTGTTGACCTATGAATCAGGAGGTCACGGTTCGATTCCTGGTCAGGGCACATGCCCGGGTTGCATGCTCATTCATTGATGTTTCTCTCTCTCTCTCTCTCTCTCTCTCTCTCCCTCTCCCTCTCCCTTCCTCTCTGAAATCAATAAAAACATTTTAAAAAAAAGAACAGAGTAAAAATGTATAGGAATGTTCATTAGTATTATTAGCAGCAATAGCAAAAAGGTAAAAAGACCACAAATGTTTGATGATGAATGAAGCTCAAATGTGGTGTAGCCAAATAATGGAATTTTGTTCAGCCATAAAAAATAAAGTACTGCTCCACGATAAATATAGGTGAAACTTAAAAAACATTATGCCAAGTAAAAGAAGCCAGAATAAAAGAACACATTTATTTTGATTCCATATATATGAAATGTTCGAAGAGGTCAATCTGTAGAGAGAGAAAGTAGATTATTGGTTGTTAGGGATTCAGAGAAGGGGGGAAATGGAGAACAACTGGTAATGAATATGGGGTTCAGGTTAGGGTGATGAAACTGTTCCAGCCGGAACCCGTTTGGCTCAATGGATAGAGCGTCGGCTTGGGGACTGAAGGGTCCCGGGTTCGATTCCGGTCAAGGGCATGTACCTTGGTTGCGGGCATATCCCCAGTAGGGGGTGTGCAAAAGGCAGCTGATCGATGACTCTCTCTCATCGATGTTTCTAACTCTCTCTCTCCCTTCCTCTCTGTATAAAGTCAATAAAATATATTTAAAAAAAAAAAAGAAAAAAAGAAACTGTTCCAAAAATCAGTGGTGATGGTTGTGTAACTTTGAGAATATGCTAAAATCCATTGAATTGTACCCTTTAACAACAGACAGGAGAAAAACATGTCAACTATATAAGCTGCATTAACATCCATGATGAAATTAGCTTACTTATGGAGGTCACTGTTCCATACAAAGTCCTCTTGGTCAGGACAATGTATCCTATATAATATCCTATATAAGAAAGAGGTAATATGCAAATTGGTCATCACTCCAACACACAAGATGGCTGCCCCCATGTGTTCAAAGATGGCCAGCAGAGGAGGGCAGTTGGGAAAAACCAGGCCAGCAGGGGAAGGCAGTTGGAGATGATCAGGCCTGCAGAGGAAGGCAGTTAGGGGCGACCAGGCTGGCAGGGGAGGACAGTGAGGTGGTGGTCAGGCTGGCAGGCATAAGAGGTTAGGGGCAATCAGGCAGGCAAGCAGTTGGGAGCCAGAAATCCTGGATTGTGAGAGGGATCCCAGACTGGAGAGGGTGCAGGCTGGGCTGAGGGACACCACCTCCCCCCATGCACGAATTTTGTGCACTCGGCCTCTAGTTACTTAGTTCAGTTAGAGACCAAAAAATCAAAGGATGCTTATCATACAAGGACGAAAAGGCAGCTCATGCCACGTTGAATAAAGTTTCACCCTTTTTTCATACAGCGCACTACTAAATACCAACATTAATCCACATTCTATAGTTATGCAAAATATTAAAACATTTTATGCAAGCATTCCCAATGCTATGTAAGGTGTTTTTAAATGATCAGATTTGAGAGATCATAAAAAATAGTATTAAGACGACAGGTCCTCTTTAGCATTCTATAAAAATTCATAAAGATATCTTTTCTTTACTACCACTGAGACAGACTTAATTCAAAATTTGAAAAGTAAACAGCATTCATGGAGAGGAACAAATCACACCTTTCGTCTTTTCTACACTGGAAATATCTGACTCCTGAACTTGCCACCAGAGCTTTTGTTTCCTAATTAACAGGACTGATATGTTTTCACCTTTAAAGGCCTTACAGCTCCCCAGAGTAATCAATCTACTGCAGCTCAATTACTGCACCAAGAACACACCAGTCAGGGACGGAGACATGAATGACTGCGGCAGGAGCAGAGATATGAATATGCATAAACTCTAAGTGGCTGATGGAATCATCAGAGAGGGTCATGAGAATTTGCAGCAAAATAATGAGAAGAATTAATCACTGCAGATTCATAAGGCACTTGGGAAGTGAGTGCACCTTTCATGTGTGTGCTGGAGTTAAAGGAAGGAGAAACGGGCTTTCAGCCAGCTATGAATTGATTTACATTCCTCAAAATCGAAGTTATCCTGATAAATCAGGAAAAATTTAACTTTATTTCTAATAACATGGCAATTATGGTGATGGCCTCAGAAAACAGGCTGACTAAATACTGAAGTGAACAGATTCATAAATTCACAGGGCTGGAATTCCTTATAGGGGCACCCATATGTGTACATTTCACTAGAATGTTACACAGAGCTACAAGGTTCTATAAGTGAGTTACAACTTCATATAAACACTTATGTTATAAAAGTCAATATTAAATGTGCAATTTAATAAATTGACATTTTGCTAAGGAGTTGATGAATCACTTTAAAAACTGCCTTAATGAAAAAATAAAATAAAACCTGCCTTAAGAAAGCTACACTACATAAAATTTCCTGATCACTACTAATTCTATTGCCTAAGTAGTACTTATTATAGAGCAGACACTAGTAAGTGGATTGTTTAACTACATCATAGTGAAAAATATTTAATATTAGTAAGTGATTAATTACTGATCAATTTTAATGAGTCCTCAGAGTTTAAAACCCAATGTGACAAATGTACACATTAGTGTACCTGCTTTAAAAATGTGCGGCTATAAACGGAAATTATCCAGTTTCTAAATACGATGAACATTAAGGCTTATTAGAGCTCAAATGAAACTTTTAAGATAAGAGTCTTGGGTATCACAGACAATATCTGTCCACTAAAACTGCAAAGCATCTCAAGAACTTGGAAAGACAAGAGATACAAAATTATTACAATAATTGGCCAACATTTTAATTTCTCATCTCACTCTGGTCACTAAAAATCAAGCCCCATATATATTTTTTAAGGTAGAAATGTAACATTCTGAAATATCTCTAGGGGGAAAAAATGAGGAAATTAGCAACAAGTTAAATAGATACTAGAAAGGCTTTACTTTAAAAACTCAATGCTTTAACAAGATAGTCTTAACTTAAAATTCCTTTCAATTTTAGAATTTTAACCAGTTCTACCTTTTCTATTTCCCAGGCTAAAGAAGCAAATTCTGGGGTGGGGGAGGAGAAATAAAGAGAGCAGGCGTGAGGGTGTGTCTGTGCACCTGTTAAGTGGGGGTGAGCATGTGCAGCATTGGCGGGGGGGGGGGGGGGGGGGGGGGGGAGAGGACGGGACTGGCACTTGACAGCAGCTGTGGCAACAACAGACTTGAGCAGACAGCTCCCAACGGCAGAGTGCAAGTGTTAATGAGTCTAAGTCATCCCGGAGAGGGAGGTTCAGTATTTCCCGTTTAAAATAAGAAACAGAAAATACGTTTTTAAGAACTTTTATCATTATTACAAGTTTGATGTTTACAAGGGTAAGATTAAAAATCTACGTGGAACACTTATTTCCTTAATATCAGAAAAATGAGCAAGCTGATGACATACCTACAGAAAAATTTTAACATTAGTTAACACAATATTTGTGAAACATGACATCTTAAAGATCAGTACAGGTTTTGTGACGCCTAAGTTGAACTGTAAGAATATTATGTTCATATATACTTCACATTTCATATATAGTCAATCCAAATATTAATAAGTTATAGAATAGGAAAAAATATTTGCTGAGAAACTCATGTCAAAGGACTGCATTAGCAACCCAGTGAAACACACACTATCTAGGCAGATCCATGACTATGAAGTATAAACAGGTTTCCTCGCAGCCAACCTAATGTGGCGAGCCTCCTGCTCTCCCACACAGGGCTCCACGTCAGTATTTTACCATTTTACCATTAGCTCTCCCCCTTTGCCCTACTTTGATTAATTGCCATGTTCAGTCCTTTACCTTCATTAGCCATTAATTGCCTTCCACCTCAGACACTAATCTTTCAACCCTTGGCAGTAGCTATCTGAACGGTCCTGATAAGATCTAAACTTAACACATCGCGGGCGGATCACGAGCATTCTCGTGTTTTCATATTACACAGTGTTTTACATAAATGTTAAAGGCACGCCTTAAAATTAAATACCCATTGTATTTTGAAGTTATTTATCACATGTTCTTGCAAGTTAATATCTTTTTTTAAAGTATGATACTTTGTACAAGTTTTTTTGTACTTGTTCAATAGAAACCTACCTGGCCACTGGGTAAAGCTAACAATAAAACTACTGGTGTGCAATGTGTTAAGTAAATTTTTCAGTGACTTTTATAGCACAAAACGAAGTAATTGTAAGGCAAGACTATAAATGCCTTATGATTCAAATACATAGTCAGCAAACACTGACGCCCTACCTTTATCATGTCATTTACCCAAAGGCATTCATTACATTGTCACCACAGGTCAACACTCCTCTAGGCACCAAGGAAGATACAGGAAGAGGATGTAGTTCCTATTGTTGCTGAAATAAACAATTTAGTTGGGAGAACCTAAGCACAGGGCTGAACTCTGTTGAAGATGCAGGAAAAATAAACATTCTGTGCTGAGTGGCAGAGGGAGAACATGTGCAGGGCAGGACTGAGGCAGGTTTGGCTATAGGCCGTGTGCACAGTGTGCTTAGAGGGCCTTCACAGCTGAGGAGAGAGAAG